AAAAGACTATATGTAAATATTGTGTACACTTTCTTGTTTCAATACATTTTGTTCTAAGTACATTTTGTGTTGCATTATTATTCCATGCATTAGTCAAGTTTCAACAAAGATGAACAGGGGTCACCTCAAACCTTTGAACTGTGGTGTATATGAGTAATATACTGTGTCAATTTCAGCGTATATCTGTCCTAATTCCAATTATTGATCATTTCTATGAGCGTAATGGTTTATTAGGCACGCAAAATTAGTTCTACATGATCTTTTATTTATTCAGTAAATCAATAAATGTTCAATGCGCTTAGCTCATTGACCGACTCCAGAGACTCGCGTTAAATTGCTCGTCAGCATCAGATGTCGGATAAACCTAAGCGTCCCTGAGTTTTCAGCATTTCTCTCGATATAGAATTAGAATCGACATTTGTTGCACTTAATTCCACCCCCACCCTCACCACATATCTATGATCTTATCAATAATAACATTATAAAGTCTGAAGAACTTCTTTCGAAGGTCGATTAACGTCACATAGAATTTTTTTCCATTTTGTCATTCAATTACCCACCAGTTTTATTACAAAAAAAAACTTGACTTGGATAATGAAATTTGATACGGTTTAAAACATTTATAATGTAAAACTTGATTAACATTTATCGAAATACCATGTCCTTTCGGGCTGTAGATAGTTATGACTCTCCCCATTTCTTTTCTTTATCAAATCTGACCTGAAATGCTTTCTTGGGAAACTTAGCGGAGTGGTTTCCCGTTGCTTTTTCTACGTTTTTCCTTTTATTAGACTGGTTGCAACAGGAGGCTAGATCCATAGCTAAAGACACAAGAAAAATGGTCGGGTCCCTGTACCACTCCAGTAAGTACTTGACTCTTCGTGCTATCCTTTTCTACGAGCCAGATCAGGACTAAAATGGAGTACTGTTCTCATATTTGGACAGGAGCTGCCCAGTCCTGACTTTCCAGTCGTGATAGAAGCGTCCCAGAGTCCTCATTGAAGACAGGGGTGGCGAGCCTCTCATTACTCTTTCGCTATTTCGATGAAAAGTGTTCGGACGAACTACATTCCTTGATTCCGCCAGGTGTAACCTTCACAGCTAGGAGCCCCCATGACACTCGCATGGTAGGGAAGCACCCACATTCCCTTCATATTCAAGCGGCGGGGAGTAAGTGCAACACGAACAGATTCTTTTTCAGAAAAACATGTTTCTCAAGTCCACTATTTTTTTTTTTTTTTAAATAATTTCCTTAATTTTCTTTAAAAATTCCAAATAAATTCTCATGAAAAAATATTTTCTACGGCTGAGGTCTAGATAAACATTAAAGAATTTATTGATCATGTTACGAAACTTTAGATTGCAAAATGCCAACTTAATGCGTTTGGATCTATTGAAAGCATAAAATCTTTCTATTAAAACAATTTTTCAGAAAAATAGGTTTATCAAGTACACTAACATATTTTTTTAATCTTCCTAATTTTTAAAAAAAAATTTCATTAAGTTTTTTAAAAAATTCCAAATAAATAATAAAGTGTTATCACTGTTTTCACTGTTTATCAATGGAGGTGTCCTTCCTAAACTTGTTTGGAGTATTGTAGAGCGTCAACACCTTGATTTTGTCACTATTTTCTCTCCGAATTACATGTCCTGTCCATTTGTTGTTGAAAGTTTTCGAGTATTATGGTTTCTGTTATTTGTGATTCTGTGGGGCCAGAATATTTGAAGAAGGATAGTCTTTCGTTCATTCGCTCGCGGCCATCTTTAATCATTTATCTGATAAAGAAAAACTGACCGTTTAGATATTTCTGAACAGATTTGGCGCCAGACGTGACATCCTTATGAAAGTTTCGATCTGACGAGACTATTTCAGAAAATGACTTGAGAATTTAGGAAAAGGTTTTCGTTTTGTAGAATCGTGTTGTTTGGGGCGAAACTACATCTAACCCCGGCTCAATTTCCATGCTCAAATTCAATTTCTCCTACATTAAATTTGTTATACCTGATCCATACACCGAGTTATTAGGTTGGTGCAAAAATAATGACGTAATATTTGAAGTGTTCAGTATTTACTAATTCCACATTATGGATTTTATTATTGATTCAGCGTATCTGCGTCATAGCTTTCATTCTAATTCCAAATCATAATTTCTGTTTTACAACTGTTTAACTTGAACCCTATTTCTTTAAATACTTGTTAGAGCTTCTTTTATGTGCCGTGTCCTCTTCAGGACGTAGGTGATCATGGCTCTCCACTTCTTCCTATCCCTTGTAGCTCTCAATAAGTTTTGTCCCTTTGCTACTTCCCCCAGGCCATATTCTGTCATCCACTTGTTTAAGCTCGCCAGGTATGTCATACGTTGCTTTCCCTTGTCCCTTTCTCTCCATTCAACCTGTGAGTATCAGATTCCCCAAGCCGTCCTTTCTCATTACTTGTCCCAGAAATTTCAGATGCCTCCTCCATATGTTAAGTATAAAGTTTCTACTTGTTTGCAACCTTTCCAAGACCTTCTCGTTGCTCATACGCTCGCTCCATGTTATTCTTAGCATCCTTGTGTAGAACCACATCTCCGCTGCCTCGCCTCGAGTCTCTTCTTCACCTTTGGAGAGACCGTCCAACATTCGCTGCCGTAAAGGAGGACAGATGTCACATAGCAGCTCGATAGTCTTTTGTCTGCTACCAAAGAAATCCTAATGTTTCGCAATACTCTGCTTTTGCAATGTGTCTTTGGCCATTCCAGTACGTCTCCGGATCTCAGTGTCGCACTTACCGTCCTCTGTCAAATCACTTCCCAGATATGTAAATTTCCGCATCTGCTTGATTTTAGTGTCCCCAACCTGCAAATCACATTTCAGGCCCATCCTTTTATTGATGACCATGCATTCTGTCTTCTTGTAGTCTATGCTTAGTCCCTTCTTCTAGCTCTCCTTCGCTACCTTCTATAGGAGATTTTGTAATTTCTTTTCCGTGCCTGCTATCAGTTCTGTGTCATCTGCGTATCTTACCTTGTTAGAAGCATAGCTACTTAACCTGGGGCCGAATAGTCCCGAAGGCTCAATGAGATTCGAAACCGAAAATTGATTTTTCTTCACTCTTTGATTACTGCTATTTTTATTTCAAAATAAATATGATTTTAGTGACCAGAATCAGATTTCCTAAAATTGTTTGCTCCTCTTTATAATTTTGCGGATTAACTGTTTTATCCACTAACAGTAACTTACTGACATATTTGACACGCGTACCCTGTAAATCTAACTAAAGGCACATGCGCATTTACTTCCCAAAATAAAAACCCTTTTAGCAAAATCACATTACATTAATCAGTCAATTTTCGCCCGTTCATGTCACTTTTCTTGCATCTTAGACATGTCAGAGGCTTAGAACATTTTAAACAATTTTGTTGTTTATCTGCCATAACAAGATTATCAACTATAATAAGCTCATAAAAGCCGAACTCCTAGCTTTGCTGTTAAGTAAAAAAGAATAATGAAAAACCTTTTCTATCAGTACGTCAAACATTTCTCGTAAACTACGTAAGATTTTATTAAGCAAGTCCATAGTTTCTAACTAAAATTAGTATATTTTCAAAATATGCTTATACGATAAGATGTGCATTGGCGATAGACTCAAAAGTTTGGTTTGCTTTGGTTTGATTTACGACCTCAAAGTGTTATTTAATACCGACAAGTTATTTATTGTTGGTAATATTTTTCCAAAAATCTATTGCAGGTAATATTTTTTTTTAAATGTATTGCTGGTAATATTTTTTCCCAAAAATGTATTGCTAGTAATAATTTTTTTTTTACAAAAAAGTATTTCTGGTAATAAAAACTATTTTTACAATTTCATAGTGTTTTGATCCCAATTAACTATTTTTCCATAGCCGGGACCCTAACAGGTACTACCACCCCGGGTGGAAACACCAGCAATTAAGTCGTAGTTCTACGCTCATCAAAACCTCCCTATCAGAGGCCTTGCTGTCTGTTGTAGTTTATCGTATTACCCAAGACGACGGCTCAAAAGACAAAATCGACATGCCAATTTCAAACACGTTAGGTTCGTTAAATTCATCTTCGCCCAAATATTACTGGAAAAGCTATACATTCGCCTCTTCTACTCCCAAAATATGGGTTAAATGGTAGAACAGACTGGGTTCTTCAGCCTTGGTTGGCAACATTTTAGGAGAAAGAAAAACTTTGATTCTAATAGATGAACCATGTAATCGTGACGATACATGGTCGTCCAAGGAAAGGAAATTCGACTGAAGACCAACCCTTCCTCAGTACGTGCTTTTCCACGGGTTATATAGAGTTTTTATTTCAGAATCGTCCTTGCCCTAGGCTAGTTACAAACCACAGCTAGATATTCCATGATGAAGGTCTTGACATTCCACACTATTTCAAAGAAAAAGTTAGGAAGGAAGCCACCATCAATACTAGAAAATTGTGAGAACAGTTAATGAAACTGAGTCTCGTATTTTCCTGAAACACTTCCTAGAGATTTTATAAATTTCAACGGAAAGTGGCTATGGCCGTTCGGTCAATGAATGCCGAATACGTCGGCATAAGGAAATGGCTGAACTCACCATGAACACAACCGTATATTTTTAGGGATGTGTGGAGTGATTATAAGTGCCGAAAAAGGGTTATCGTGTCAAGTTCAAGGCTGTTGTATTCCCTTGTTTTTTCTTTTAGATTAGCTGTTATTCCTCTTCTTCTTCTTTACTTCTTCTAGATATAAGCAATTCTTTTTCTTCTTCTTCGTCTTCCTTTAGATTAGCCATTCTTCTTCTAGATTAACGTGAGTCTTCTTCTTCGATTAACCATTCTTCTTCGTCTTAGTCTTCTTTTAGATTAGACATGGTTCATCTCCTTCTAGACTTAATTCTTCTTTTTCTTCTTCTTCTTCGTCTTCCTTTAGATTAGCCATTCTTCTTCTAGATTAACGTGAGTCTTCTTCTTCGATTAACCATTCTTCTTCGTCTTCTTTTAGATTAGCCATGGTTTATCTCCTTCTAGACTTAATTCTTCTTTTTCTTCTTCCTCAAATTAGCCATTCTTTTTTGTCTTCTTCTTTTTAAGATTAGCCATTCTTCAGCTTAGATAAAAACTATTCTTCTGCATTAAGATTTAAACAATTCTTTTCTTCTTTTCCTTCTTCGATTTAACAATTCTTTTCGTCTACTGCTTCTGTTAAATGACATTCTTCATCTTCTAGATTCAAAGAAATCATCTTCTTCGTTTTAACCATTGTTCTTCATATAATACATCTTCTTTTAGTTTACCTTTCTTCTTTTAGATTTAAGCAAATCTTTATCTTCTTCTTCTTATCATCATCTTCTTCTTCTTCTTCATCATCTTCTTCTTCTTCTACTACTGCTACAACTACTACTACTTTTTAACCATTATTATTCGTCTTCTTTTAGATTAGCCATTCTCTTTCACCTAGATTTAAACAATTTTCTCCTTCTTCTTCGTTTTCTTCTTCTTTTAAAATACGCATTCTTCTTCTTCTTCTTCTTCTAGATTTAAAACAATCTTCTTCTTCAATTCCACCTTGCTGCTGTGTTTTTCTTCTTTTATGTAAATATTTTTCGTCTTCTTCTTTTGGATTAGCCATTCTTTTTCTTCTTCTTCGTCTTCTAAATTTAAACGATTTTTGTTCTTTTTTTGATTCAAGTATTCTCCTTCTTCTTCTTCTTCTTTTGGATTAGAAATTCTTCTCCTCCTAGATTTAAACTATTCATCTTCTTTTCCTTCTTCTTCTTCTAGATTTAAATAAATCTTCTTCATCTTCAATTTAACCATTCTTCGTCGTCTTCGCTTTCTCCTTCTTCTTTTAGACGAGCCAGTGATTTTGTTGTTCTTCTAGATTTATACAATTCTTTTTCTTCTTCTCCTTCATCGATTTGACCATTGTTCTAGATCGTTTTCTTCTTTTAGATTGTCCATTCTTATTCTTCTCCTAGATTTAAACAATTATTATTATTATTATTATTATTATTATTATTATTATTCTCCTCCTCCTCCTCCTTCTTCTTCTTCTTCTTCTTCTTCTTCTTCTTCTTCTTCTTCTTCTATTCAACCATTCTCCTTCGTAAAACAATTCTTTCTTCTTCTTTTAGATTAGCCATCCTATTTTTTCTTTAACTTCTTTTTTTTCTTCTGTTTGACCATTTTCTTTCTTTTAGATTCGCTATTCTTCTTATTCATGATTTAAAAAATTCTTCTGGTTTGATATATTCTTCTTCGTCTTCTTTTGGATTAGCCATTCCTTTTATTGTTCATCTAGACATAAGCGTTTCTTCTTCTTCTTTGATTTAATCATTCTCTTTCATTTTCTTCTTTTAGATTAGACAGTCTTCTAATTCTTCTAAATTTAAACTATTTTCTTCTTTTTCTAGATTTAAATAAAGCTTCCTTTTCTTTAATTTCAACATTCTTCTTCGATTTCTTCTTCATTCTGCTTCTACTTCTAGATTTAAACAATTATTTGCTTCTTCTCCTTCTTCGATTTAGCCATTCTTTGTCTTCTTCTTTTAGATTCGTTTTCTCTTACTTGATTTAAACAATTCATCTTCTTCGATTTAACCATTCTTCTTCGTCTTCTTATTCTTCTTTTAGAATAGCCATTCTTTTTCTTCTTCAAGATTTACAAAATCTTCTTCAATTTAACCATTCTGCTCCATTTTCTTCTTCTTCCAGATTTAAACAGTTCTTCTTTATCTTATAGATTTAAATGATTCTTCTTCTTCTTCTTCTATTTAATCATTCTCCTTGTTTTAGATTAGCCATTCTTCCTGTTATTCATGATTTAAACAATACTTCTTATTGAGTTAAATATTCTTTTTCGTCAACTTTTTTATTAGGCATTCTACTCTTTCTGTTTCTTCTTCTTCTAGATTTAAAATAAAACGTAAATTTATCCATTCTTCTTCTTTTAGATTAACCATTTGTTTACCATTTAAACAAAACTTCTTTACATTATACAGATCTTTCTGACTGTTGTCCTTATTTACGTTATCGGATTCAAGACTCATTGGGAAATCAGTAGATGAATGCAGTGGTTGAAGTAATCCAGTAACTTGACCCAAAGAGTTGTGAGTTCAACACAATAGTCCGAATAATGTAAATAATGTACATAATACCTCATCTCAGGAATATAGACAGATACAGAATGGTCGAAACTTTGTAATAAATATGGCAACAAAGATGAGGACAATAGTCCGAATAATGTAAATAATGTACATAATACCTCATCTCAGGAATATAGACAGATACTGAATGGTCGAAACTTTGTAATAAATATGGCGACAAAGATGAGGACAATAGTCCGAATAATGTAAATAATGTACATAATACCTCATCTCAGGAATATAGACAGATACTGAATGGTCGAAACTTTGTAATAAATATGGTAATAAAGATGAGGACAATAGTCCGAATAATGTAAATAATGTACATAATACCTCATCTCAGGAATATAGACAGATACTGAATGGTCGAAACTTTGTAATAAATATGGTAATAAAGATGAGGACAATAGTCCGAATAATGTAAATAATGTACATAATACCTCATCTCAGGAATATAGACATATACTGAATGGTCGAAACTTTGTAATAAATATGGCGACAAAGATGAGGACAATAGTCTGAATAATGTAAATAATGTACATAATACCTCATCTCAGGAAATATAGACAGATACTGAATGGCCGAAACTTTGTAATAAATATGGCGACAAAGATGAGGACAATAGTCTGAATAATGTAAATAGTGTACATAATACCTCATCTCAGGAATATAGACAGATACTGAATGGTCGAAACTTTGTAATAAATATGGCGACAAAAATGAGGACAATAGTCCGAATAATATAAATAGTGTACATAATACCTCATCTCAGAAATATAGACAGATACTGAATGGCCGAAACTTTGTAATAAATATGGCGACAAAAATGAGGACAATAGTCCGAATAATATAAATAGTGTACATAATACCTCATCTCAGAAATATAGACAGATATTGAATGGCCGAAACTTTGTAATAAATATGGCGACAAAGATGAGGACAATAGTCTGAATAATTTAAATAGTGTACATAATACCTCATCTCAGAAATATAGACAGATACTGAATGGCCGAAACTTTGTAATAAATATGCCGACAAAGATGAGGACAATAGTCTGAATAATTTAAATAGTGTACATAATACCTCATCTCAGAAATATAGACAGATACTGAAAGGCCAAAACGTTGTAATAAATATGGCGACAAAGATGAGGACAATAGTCTGAATAATTTAAATAGTGTACATAATACCTCATCTCAGAAATATAGACAGATACTGAAAGGCCAAAACGTTGTAATAAATATGGCGACAAAGATGATGTCAATAGTCCGAATAATGTAAATAGTGTATATAATACCTCATCTCAGAAATATACACAGATACTGAAGGGCCAAAACTTTGTAATAAATATGGCGACAAAAATGAGGACAATAGTCCGAATAATGTAAATAATGTACATAATACCTCATCTCAGAAATATAGACAGATACTGAAGGGCTGAAACGTTGTAATAAATATGGTGACAAAGATGAGGACAATAGTCCGAATAATGTAAATAATGTACATAATACCTCATCTCAGAAATATAGACAGATACTGAAGGGCGGAAACGTTGTAATAAATATGGTGACAATCATGAGGACAATAGTCCGAATAATGTAAATAATGTACATAATACCTCATCTCAGAAATATAGACACATACTGAAGGGCGGAAACGTTGTAATAAATATGGCGACAAAGATGAGGACAATAGTCCGAATAATGTAAATAGTGTACATAATACCTCATCTCAGAAATATAGACAGATACTGAAGGGCCAAAACGTTGTAATAAATATGGCGACAAAGATGAGGACAATAGTCCGAATAATGTAAATAGTGTATATAATACCTCATCTCAGAAATATAGACAGATACTGAAGGGCCGAAACTTTGTAATAAATATGGCGATAAAAATGAAGACAATAGTCGGAATAATGTAAATAATATACATAATACCTCATCTCAGAAATATAGACAGATACTGAAGGGCCGAAACTTTGTAATAAATATGGCGACAAAGATGATGTCAATAGTCTGAATAATGTAAATAATATATATAATACCTCATCTCAGAAATATAGACAGATACTGAAGGGCCGAAACTTTGTAATAAATATGGCGACAAAGATGATGTCAATAGTCTGAATAATGTAAATAGTGTATATAATACCTCATCTCAGAAATATAGATAGATACTGAAGGGCCGAAACGTTGTAATAAATATGGCGACAAAGATGAGGACAATAGTCCGAATAATGTAAATAGTGAACCAAACAACGCAGATTCCTGAAGCGGTCCAATGCTCTGGCATCAGGTGGTTTGTGTCATTACTAATTAGCATATGTGTATATTTCATCGTTAAGTATAGTCTCGCTGTGGTGGTGGTGGTGGGGAGTAGTGGCAAGTGTACTTGTATTGTTAGTATATCTTGATTGTGTCTCTGTGGACAGAGCGCAAATGAAAAAATATTGAGAAGTGCTCGATCCCGGGTAACATCTGCCCACGGCAGTAACCTTTCATTTCACTAAAGAGTTGGGGATCGATTCCAGCGGAACCCACGGTTGCAGGGCCTGGGTAATTATGGACCCTGGTTCGGGGGGTACAGGCTCGGGCTCTCCATATTAAACCGATCTTGTGTCACATCGCGGCTAAAGCTAAACGTCTCGTATGACTGACCGCCAGTCGTAGTAGCTGGAGTTCCAGGGGGAGATCGCCCCAAGCAGTACCTGTCCTTCGGGAGAGGACTGAGTTTACTGGCTGACACATGTGGCGTCCACAAAATGAGGAAGTGCCGAAGGGGGCTTGAGAATATTTTTTCACGTTACTGCCGATAAACCTACATTAAAATTGACCTTTGTGTCACATTTTGATGCGACATGAGCACCTGTCGAAATACAATGGTACTTGAACTGTAGAACCAATACTAATTGCATACAAATGCAGTCCCTACTTGGACTATCATAACACTTAATTTTTCACAGTGGAAATGTTATTTCTTTAAATATCATAATAATCGGTTTCTCCAAAAATATTTATTATTTGAGGCCAAAACATCGTAAATGTTTTTCATGAATTCTTTATAATCAACATTTCGTGCGACAGAATGTGTTCAAGAATTTAACTTTTTAAAAGTAATGATGGCGAGATTTTAAAAAAATCTTCAGCAATAAACAAAACAAATACAGGAAAATAATTATAATATTAAAAAGACCTTGGGATATAATAAAAATATCGGTTTAAGGTAAGCTGCATTTATGGATTAAAGTGCTCAATATCATGGATAGATCGTATGTAAATATAAAAGTGGACATTGAGGTCAACACATAGAGGGAGTAAATTTATGGTACTTGTACTGTCGTCAGTCGTGCGAGCGATGTCTTGTGTCACTAGCATAGAGATGAGGCTATCTTTACCAGACAATACCTCTCCTTCGGTGTGGTGGGGGTGCGTACAAAAAGCGGGGTTGACAATTTTTTTACGTTACTGCTGATAAACCCACATTTTGTTGCGACATGGGCACCCGTCTAAATACAGTGGTACTTGGACTGTAGAATCAATACTGATTGCATACAACTGGAAATCCGATATTGGAATATCATAACTACAACAACAACAATAGCAATAATAATAATAATAGTAATAATAATAATAATAATAATAATAATGGTAGAGATGATGAGGATAATAGTATAACAGTGGAACGCCTATGACCGACCGAACGGCAGCTGAAATACCTGTCCTTCGGGTCTGGGGCTAAGTGCCGAAGAGATCACATTTTGTTACGACATGGGCACACGTCTAAATACAATGGTATTGGACTGTAGCATCAATACTGACTGCATACAACTGCAATACCTACTTGGACTATCATTACAATAATAGTAACAACAACAATAATAATTTATTCTGATTTTCTTAATGTAGCTTTTAATATTAAATTAATAGTAAATATGCAAGAAAACATTTGGTAAATTCTTTGGTTTTTAACGCGGATTATATGGAATAACAATA